GAACTGTCACTCCAACACCCAGGTATTACTTCTGTAAGAGTTCAGGAGACCATATGGGATGCTGGGAATCAAACCTGTTTCAGCTGCATGTAAAGCAAACACCTTTATCTGCTGTACTATCACTCCAGCCCTTCAAATGATTTTATTTATTTTTTTTGCATGTTTTTTTAAAAAAATTTTATTATTTTTTAATTTTTATAAAGCAAGCAAGAAGACATTTGAATATTTTTAATTTTTTTTGCTTTATGGATTACACCCAGTGATGCACAGGGGTTACTCCTGGCTCTGCAGTCAGGAATCACCCCTACCGGTGCTCAGGGGACCATAAGGGATGCTGGGAATCAAACCCGGGTTGGCCGCGTGCAAGGCAAAGGCCCTACCCGCTGTGCTATTGCTCCAGCCCCGACACTTGAATTTTTTTAAGATACTTCAAATTAACCATTTTGATATTTTCTATTCATTCCACCTGTTTATATCTTAACATTTCTGAAGAGCAAGGGTAGTTATTTTGTATCATATTCTTCAGGTGGTGTTATTTGGTATTCCTCACTTATACTTTTCGGGAAAGAGTACTACTCTCAGGTGACACACAAGGTCTGAGTTCCATTACCGAGTGCCATAAGCTTTATTGCTTAGTTTAAATGGTATCCACGAAGCTTCCTACTATAAAATTAATGGGCATATTGAATGTTTCAATGAATTAATAAAAGGAAGTCAACTGGAAACAGCCTGGGGAAAGGACTATGCAGATTCCCAGATTTACATGTAGAAGCTTTATCGTAGGACCGACAGATAAGGAAACATTGACCACATGATCATCTTGGCAATTTCCTTCATCTTTTATGTTCAGTTTTTGGTTTTCTGAAATTTAAGTATTTTTCTTTTATTGATTTCCGTTGATTTAAAAACATGGAATTTCAAGGGATTTAGCTTCACACCTATATGTATGTAGTCCTCACCACTTTGGACTCCAAAGTGTCAATGCTATCCCATCACCAAAATGACCTCTCTCTTCAGTATTCTTTTGGCCCTCCCCTCTTCTCCCTCCTTAACCAACATAGTTATCGCATATGAAATTTTGTTTAGTGCCACTTCACTTTCTTTCATTTATCCTTATTTCACTTAAATTAATCACCTTAGGATTGACCCTCTTTTTGTCCCAAAGAGCATGATTTCATCTTTTTAAATGACACTTAGTGTCATTTAACAGGCTATTCTCGCTGCCAATCTAGCCATTCAATTATTTTGATTTGGAGGCCACACATGGCTGTTCTCAGGAGTCATATGGTGAGTCAGGGATTGGCATCAGGGTTCAGCTTTACCTGATGTTTTATCCAGCCCCCAACCTAGCCATTTTTCTGGCTTTTTGGGTCATACCTGGTGATGCTCAGGGTTATTCCTGGCCCTGCACTCAGGAATGACTCCTGGCGGTGCTCGGGGGGACCCTGTGGGATGCCGGGGATCGAACCCTGGTTGGCCATATGCAAGGCAACATCCTCCCCGCTATCCTATCACTCTGACCTACAACCTAGCCATTTTAAGCAATCCCCTAGTTTTTTCCCCTACAATCTTCAATACTAGTTATCTTCTGAATCTCAGGTATGTAGGGTAAAAAATGGCCAAAAAATTTGGAGAGTCTGAAATTATGTCCTTGATAATAAACTGTCTTAAAAATAGTTGCTAAAATATTGTTTGTCTGATCCATGAATTTTTGAACCAAGACAGTATTCAAATTTTTCTTTTCTTTTTTTTTTTTTTTTTTGCTTTTTGGGTCACACCCAGAAATGCTCAGAAGATTTATGTTCCTGGCTCTCCACTCAGAATTTACTCCTGGTGGTGTTTTAGGGGGACCATAGGGGATGCCAGGGATCAAACCTGGGTCAGCCACATGCAAAGCAAATGCCCTACCCACTGTGTACTATTGCTCTGGCCCCTTGTGTACATATTTCTTAAAGCATTTGTGCAATGCGGAAAAGTAGCTTTCTAGTACTCTGCATCTATAAAGTAGTGAATTCAAAGCTACTATACACTATGGTACCTCAAAGCTTTTAAAGAAGAGAGAAAAATAACTTTGTTGCTTGCTACAGGAGAAATGTCATATAGAGTAAAGATCATTCAGGTGATATAAAATCAAAGCATAATTAAGTACAGGACAAGTAAATACACAAAGGATGGAGGCTGAAGAGAGAGAAGAGTATACAGGGAGTTTGCCTTGCATGAGGCTGACCCAGGATTAATCCCTGACACCCAATATGGTCCCTAAGCCCAATCAGGAGTAATCTCTGAGGGTAGAGCCAGGAGTAAACCCTGAGCACTACGAGGTGTGGGCCAAAAACCAAAAAAGAAATTTAACAGAGAACATTTTTCCTTCATAGAAAGTAATCCTTAATGCCATTAATTGATAATTAGATCATAAAACTGAACAAAGTATAACTAGGTTTTTCTATCCTTTAAAAAACTTGTGATTTCATAGTTCTTTATGACTGCCACCAGAGAAAGTAAATGATAACAAAATTAAATTTGATATTCTGTAATAAAAATTTTAATGAAACCACAATAGAAAAGAATGCCAGAGTTTGGATATTTACAAAGACAGTAGACTTTCTGTCACTGTCACTGTCCTCCCGTTGTTCATCAATTTGCTTGAGCTGGCCCAGTAACATCTTCATTGTGAGACTTGTCACTGTATTTGGCATATCAAATACATCATGGTTAGCTTTCGAGGCTTTGCCGTGAGGGCGGGATATTCTCAGTAGCTTGCCGGGCTCTCCGAGAGGGGTGGAGGAATCAAACCCGGGTCACCCAGGTTGGCCTCAGCGGCCGCGTGCAAAGCAAATGCCCTACCTGCAGACTTTCTAAAGCACCTTCGTTGCTGTTTGTGCACGAGACTTGATTATAGATCTTATATAATCATGAAATTGTATCACAATTTTATGATTTAGTGGAAAATCCTGGATTGGGTTTAGTGAAAAACTTGGGTTTAAAACCACGGTGGTCACCAATTCAGTTGTTTATGAGCATCTAACATAAAAGAACATTAGACTTTTTATAAATTGATAAAATTTGTAAGCTTTTAGGTTTCCCATTGAAATGTGAACACCATGAGTGACAAACTGTTTTTAAATTTTTTAAAAATTAAATCACAGTGAGATACATGGTTACAAAGTTGTTCATGGTTGGGTTTCAGTCATACAATGTTTCAACACCAGTCCCTTCACCAGTGTACATTTCCCACTACCAACATTCCAGTTTCCCTCCTGACCCCCACCCTGTGCCTGCTTCTATGGCAGGCACTTCTTTCTCTCACACATTAGTCATTTTAGCGCACTGCTTAGTAAGTGCAGTTTTGCCATTTGATAATAAAGTATTTCATGCTGTATACCTTTAAAGGTAGCATCCGCTTCATCTCAGAAAATGTGTGTACTGTTACTTTTAAAAATATTTTGACTTTTAAAAATATGTTGTAGTGGAACCTGAGAGTACATAAGCTTAAGTACATACTTTGAGTGCAGCTGACCCCAGTTAGATCTGTAGCCCCATGTTGCCTATTGATCCTTTCAGGTGCAGCTAGCTCAAAGCCCCTGAACACTCCAAAGTATGGTTCTAGAGGCCATGAGCACTACTAGGGCCTGAGCAGCACCCTATACTCTAAGCCCTCACACTGAACTTTGTTGAGAATTATGTATTGGGGATCCTACTCACCACTTGGCTCCTCCCCCCCTCAATTTATGTCACAATGCTGTAATTTAATGCATGACACCTGAAATGCTGTCAAGGTATAATTGCATCCCTGCAACTATGCTTACTATGCAGACTACGGCTCAAAGTAATTAGAGTGCCACATATGGACTCTCACAGCTATTCAGCTTTGCCATTAGAGCATGATGGTTGCCATAGTAAACATGTAAATGAATATGTATGACTTTTCTAGCAAAATTTTTCAACTCTGAAATTTGTATTTCCTAGGGCTGGAGCGATAGCACAGCGGGTAGGGCGTCTGCCTTGCACGCAGCCAACATGGCCGACCCGAGTTCGATTCCTCCGCCCCTCTCGGAGAGCCCGGCAAGCTACCGAGAGTATTCGATATGCCAGACACAGTAACAACAAAGTCTCCAATGGAGACGTTACTGGGCCCGCTCGAGCAAATCGATGATCAACAGGAGGGCCTTTACTTACTTACATGTATCGCAAAATATTCTCTTTGAGGCCGAAGTGATAGTACAGCAGGCAGGGCAATTGCCTTGCATTCAGCCAAGCCAGATTTGATGCCCAGCATCCCACTTTATGGTCCCCCAAGCATTGCCAGGAATATTTCCAAAGAGCAGAGTCAAGAGTAATCCCGAGCATCTCTGGGTGTGGACCAAAAACAAATTAAAAATACTGTTAAAACAATTTTAAAATATGAAAACCATTCTTAGGTCACTAGTAGAAATAAATAGCAGCGCAGAATTTGGTATATGAGTTATGGCCGGTTTGCTATACAGGGTAAGAAGGGGGTGTTATTAGGGGGAATAGTAGGTTAAGGATGGAATGACTAGAGGACTTCATAATAGTAAATTTTAGTCAAGATGATCCCAAATAAATGACATAAATTTGGGGTTAAGTAACTGCTCATGACCTTTAAATTTCATTGTCTCTTTAATGACCTCTGACCTAGTTTTTTTCTAATATGAAAGTTCTTTCATTGGGCTGGAGTGATAGCACAGTGGGTAGGGCGTTTGCCTTGCACATGGCTGACCCAGGTTCGATTCCCAACATCCTATATGGTCCCTTGAGCACCGGTAGGGGTAATTCCTGAGTGCAGAGCCAGGAGTAACCCCTGCACATCACCAGGTGTGACCCAAAAAGCAAAAATAAGTGCTGTCAGGAGTTTTTACATTATCGTTCATTTGAGGTTTTTGAACTCATGTTTTGACCCAATTTCTATATTTTCACATAGACAAAACTTTCATACAATATGTACTTATAACTGTTTTCAAGGTTTATCTTTCTCTTTTTAGATAATTTTCCACTTGTTAATCAAGATGGAAAGTTCAGATTCTAACGATAAAGGAAGTGATCAGTCTGCAGCACAACGCAGAAGTCAAATGGACCGATTGGATCGAGAAGAGGCTTTCTATCAGTTTGTAAATAACCTGAGTGAAGAAGATTACAGACTTATGAGGGATAACAATTTGCTAGGCACCCCAGGTATGCAACGTGTATTTTAAGGATTTACAAATCGCTGGGCTTTTTATATGTTAATGTTTTTAAAATTCGCTTTTTAGTCATTTTTGAAACATTTTAGTACTAGAGAAATAAAATTGTTTATATACTGCTATGGGCTGGAGCGATAGCACAGCAGGTAGGGCGTTTGCCTTGCACGCAGCCAACATGGCCGACCGGAGTTCGATTCCTCCGCCCCTCTCAGAGAGCCCAGCAAGCTACCTAGAGTATCTCACCCACATGGTAAAGCCTGGCAAGCTACCCGTGATGTATTCCATATGCCAAACACAGTAACAAGTGTCACAATGGAGATGTTACTTGTGTCCGTTCAAGCAAATCGATGAACAATGGGGTAGGAAAGTGACAGTAATATACTGCTATACTTGTTACTTAGTTTTGTTTTTTAAATTTAGATTTATATATATTAGTATTAATACATATAAATACAGTAACAACAAGTCTCACAATGGAGACGTTACTGGGCCCGCTCAAGAAAATCTGTGAACAACAGGAGAGTGGCAGTGACATATAAATAATAATTTATATGTATTAGTACGCTGCTATTACTTAAATAGTATTTTTTCTAAGTCAGCTTTGGGTAAAATGTGTATTGTTCAGAACTTTGCTTGGTGGTTCTCTTTGCTTGGTTAAGTTCTACTTAAATTTGACCTTAGTTAAAATTCATTATCTCATTTTTAGTATTTCTGCACACCTTTGATAATTGCTTACAGTTTTAAAGGTAAGGTGTTACTATAATTCTTATGAGAGAATACATTTTGAGTCAAGAGCATTTGACTTGAATCAGAATGCCCAAGTTAAGTTGGTGTTCTGTATCAGCCATTTGGTTTTTATTTGTTGTTTTGGACACATTGGGGGGTGCTCGGGGTTTATTCCTGGCTTTACATTCAGGAATAATTCCTAGCAGTGATTTGGGATGCCAGGGATCAAACCTGGTTCAGAGGAAACACCCTACCTGCCCCCAGTGTCAGCCATTTATTAACCATGACTTCTGGCACATCAATCTGTCTCTTTACTTGCTTTAAAATGCAGACAGTCCCTACCTCCCACAAAGGAAATTTTTTAATGAAATACTGTATGCAACACTGTTTGGCAAGCTGGAAATATATAAATTTGTTAATGTCATGTTTCCTAAGTCAGTTTTACCTTGATTCTTATTTATTCCTCAGTTTCTACTTAGATATTATTTGTAATTTCGCAATTTTTTTTAAACTATCTTCAGGTGAAAGTACAGAGGAAGAATTACTGAGAAGACTGCAACAAATAAAAGAGGGTCCTCCACCACAAAACTCAGATGAGAATAGAGGTATAGTTTGCTGGGCAGGGCAGGGAGGGGTGGTGGTAGGAGCGGATGGTAGCCTGAGGTTGGAATGGATAGAGAACTTCATAACAAAAAATGTCAGGCAAGATGATCCAGACACAAATTAATTTGGGATTAAGTAATTGCTCATCAAGGGAGAAAAGTGGCATTTTTTGATAGTTAGTGAGAATGTTGCCATGGGTTTTTTCTCCCTTCTTTACCTTTGGATTCTGCTAATTGGGACACAGAGAAATGACCTGTTTAAGGTCAGTTTGGTGATTTTTTTCCTTAATTTTTTATCTTCATTGAAACTTCCTCCTTTTATTTTGTGTACTTATGTCTTACTTATAAACATGTATCTTCCTCACCAGCAGAATAAAATGCTGTACTTCCTATTAGTGATTTTCAGTGGGGTAAATTTTGCTTCCTGAGGAAGGGCATTATCTGGAGACATTTTGGGTGGTCATGACTAGAGAGTTGCTGCCAGCATTTGTAAGTAAGTAGATGCCAAGAATGTTGTCTAGCATTCTCAACTACATAGTGTAGAGCCTGCAACAAATAGCTGACTCAAAATGTAATCAGTGTCACTGTTGAGAAATCCTAGTGGTTCCTCAGGTCTGGTGTTTCTTTCCCAATAGGTAGGAAATTTGACTAACTGAAGAAGCTGTTTAAGAGCAGTTGGTTCTTGAATGTACCATTACATGTACTGTGCTAGGTCAGTTTAGGCTGTACATTAGGCCTGCTCTTCAATTTCATGTCAATAACAAGAAGTATTTAATTTTTAAAGTCTTAGTAACCTTGTTTATTTTGTCCTCAATGCCTATAAGCATTCTTCTATTTTACAGAAGGATCACTTATTATCAGAGGCACTTAAGAGCTCAGAAGTAATGTTATAGAGTAATTAAAAGTCAACAAAAACCTAGAAACTTAATTAAGTAACTTAATTTATCAAATGTAATTTGTGTTACATTAGTGTTCACAGAGTGAAAAGTGTTACCCTCTAACAGTGGCTCTAAATATGACAATGTATGGATAAGTAGACTTCCTTTAGATTCTGTTTTTTCCAGAAAATAAAATATCCTAGTTTCTCTAGGATTAACTTATTTGTTCAATATGGAATTAAACTTCTTTGCCTTTATTTGCAAATCCTTGCAATAAAGTTTTCAAAAATCTGTAACTGTGAAATGTGTTTAGAATCTTTTATTTTTTCAGTGCAGTCTTACATGATTGTCCTATTTTTAGTAGTTCCTTCATTTCCCTCCCAACTCTTTTTTTAAACAGGAGACTCTTCGGATGATGTGTCTAATGGTGATTCTATAATAGACTGGCTTAACTCCGTCCGACAAACTGGAAATACAACAAGAAGTGGACAGAGAGGAAACCAATCTTGGAGAGCAGTGAGCCGAACTAATCCAAATAGTGGTGATTTTAGATTCAGTTTAGAGATCAATGTTAATCGTAATAATGGGGGCCAAAACCCAGAGAATGAAAATGAGCCATCTGCAAGACGTTCTAGTGGAGAGAATTTGGACAATAGCCAAAGGCAGATAGAAAGTCCACGATCTGATTCAACATCTGCAAGGCCATCCAGATCAGAACGAAATTCATCTGAAGCAGTAATGGGAGAAGTTCTACCTACCAGAGGCCAGAGAAGGGCAAGGAGCAGGAGCCCAGACCATCGGCGAACAAGAGCCAGAGCTGAAAGAAGTAGATCACCTCTGCATTCAGTGAGTGAAATTCCACGACGATCTCATCATAATATCACTTCTCAGACTTTTGAGCATCCTTTGGTAAATGAGACTGAGGGAAGTTCTAGAACCCGGCACCACGTGACATTAAGACAGCAAATAAGTGGGCCTGAGTTGCTAAGTAGAGGTCTTTTTGCAGCACCTGGAACAAGAAACGCTTCTCAAGGAGCAGCATCTTCAGACACGACCAGCACTGGTGAATCTATAGGGCCAGGACAGAGACCTCCAACCATAGTCCTTGATCTTCAAGTAAGAAGAGTTCGACCTGGGGAATATCGGCAAAGAGATAGCATAGCTAGCAGAACCCGGTCAAGGTCTCAGACACCAAACAACACTGTTACATACGAAAGTGAACGGGGAGGTTTTAGGCGCACATTTTCACGTTCTGAAAGGGCAGGAGTGAGAACCTATGTCAGTACCATTAGAATTCCCATTCGTAGAATCTTAAATACCGGTTTGAGTGAGACTACGTCTGTTGCAATTCAGACTATGTTAAGGCAGATAATGACAGGTTTTGGAGAGCTAAGCTACTTTATGTACAGTGATAGTGATTCAGAGCCTAGTGGCCCAGTCTCAAGTCGGAATATGGAAAGGGCAGAGCCACGGAGTGGAAGAGGGGGTTCTGGTGGTAATAGCAGTTCTGGATCCAGCTCCAGCTCCAGCTCCAGCTCCAGTTCGAGTTCAAGTTCCAGTCCTAGTTCAAGTTCCAGTGGTGAAAGTTCAGAGACTAGCTCAGAGGTATTCGAAGGCAGTAATGAAGGAAGCTCATCAGGTTCATCAGGTGCCAGGCGAGAGGGTCGACACAGGGCCCCCCCTACAGTAACATTTGATGAAAGTGGCTCTTTGCCTTTCCTTAGCCTGGCTCAGTTTTTCCTCTTAAATGAGGATGATGATGATCAACCTAGAGGACTCACCAAAGAACAGATTGACAACTTGGCAATGAGAAGTTTTGGCGAAAATGATGCATTAAAAACCTGCAGTGTTTGCATTACAGAATACACAGAAGGCAACAAACTTCGTAAATTACCTTGTTCCCATGAGTACCATGTTCACTGTATTGATCGCTGGTTATCTGAGAATTCTACTTGTCCTATTTGTCGCAGAGCAGTCTTAACTTCTGGTAACAGAGAAAGCATTGTGTAACTAAAATCTGAACTCAGCTATGTAGTGATGTAGTGATGGGCAAACAGGAATCACTTACCCCACTTTTTGAGTGGTGCTTAAATATAAAGTAGCAACCTGAATTAAGTCACTGCTTTTTGAATGAATCATTGTCCTTTCTCCAATATCTGTTCCAGAATAAAAGGAAATACAAAATGTTATAGGACATAAAATCTGATTTCAATACCAGTAATTGATATTGCTGATGATTTATTATATATGCTTGTCATTTTCTCCTTTGTTACCTTAAAAGATGTGCTTTAGCAATGGCTCTTACCTGTTTCATGTTGATCTTTAAAGTTTCCCATGCCATCGGAGAGAGGTAAAGGAAATTCCCAGTTTAAATTGTTACAGTACTTGTTTCATAAGTGATTGCTTAAAGTTGTACCATTCCCAGTTATTAGTTGGCACAAATTCAGCTACATTCTGAATATCATTTGTTCACCTTCAGATGAGGTGATATTGGACATGTCAGTATAAATAACACTAAGGTTAGGATCTTCTAAGTGTATAACTGTCTCCTAAGCCCATCACTGTGGCACACTGTAGAGTGACCTTATAGTTTGAGATATTTATCTTGTGGAAATATTAAAAAAGCCTATGCTTGTGTAAGTGAAAAAAATCATTTGTTTAAAAATGTAAAGCTATTTTGTAGAGGCTCAGTACTTTTCCAATGCACTCTTGTATTAATGCATTAAAAATTGTAAAGTACCATGCTTAGAAAAGAAAAAAATGCTTCTTATGAGCCAACTTAGTTAAAAAAAACCAAACAAAGTACAAAGTGTAGAACTCTGTTCAAGAGCAGAACATATCTGTAGTAGTTAATGTTTGTGAATAGCTACTGTAACATGCAAAGGAAGGAACAGAGTGCAGAATTAGGTTGAAGACCAATGAAAATTGTGTATTTTAACTTGGAATTAGGCAGGAAATGAAAGAATTTTAACTTTTTATGAAGACAGTAATCATAACAGATGTGAACAGGTTTCATTCAATGATGTCCTTGAACACAGTATTCTACTTAAGGAGATGAAGTAGATAAAAACTTTTGTTTAAGAAAAACAAACCAGTACTACCAGGTGCAGGATATATTGATTTTCTTTTTGCAAGCCTGCTCCTTAAAAAATTTAAAAAAGATGAAAGAAAGAGACTATAACCACTTTTAACATAAGAATTGAAGTTGGTACAAATGTGTGTACTAATAGGAAATTCTTCTTGAATTTGCATTATTTTCAAGCTTTATCCTTTAAGGTACCAGTGCACACTTGTTAATATTTTTATACTCTGTATAACACAGACCTGACATCTCACATTTAAAGACCAGATGAAGAACTAAGGGATTTTTATCCTTTGTTAAAAGTGAGTTGTGTTGGGTTATTTGAAATTCAAATTTTAATTGTGCTACCCATAGTAGTAGATGAGGTTGCTGACTCATGATTTATGGGACATGCACTTTTTATTGTTTCCTTAGTAGTAAGAATAGGTTTGTGGAGAACCCCAGTACTATTGCCGAATTTCTCTTTCTTGGTTGGGGCTAGGATTAGTCTGACTGTGGAGGACTGTTTGTTTTTCTGGTAAAACCTAATGGTCCCAAAGAGGAATTGAATACATCTTTGGCCTTTAAGAAAGTGAGCTACCACCCAGGCGTAGTCAGATAATCTACAAATAAATCTACTTCGGGAATTATCTGGCTATCTTATCATCTCGACTTGCTAAGATTATTTCAAAGCTCATCATTTTGTGGTTTCCTCTGACTTTCAATCCTACCTAAGTATCAAGGAAATTGATTTGTAAATATGGTAGTTATTTACTAATGATATGTACTGCTCTTGCAAGGAAATAATGTCCAAACAAAGCTTCACTTATTTTTTTTTAATATAAGCAGATTTCACTGTTTATGGCGCTTATGTAATACATTTTATCTTTTTAAAAAATGTCCATGTAAAAGTCAGGATACCTTTATATTTGTGAGCCTCCGTCTTCTTTCCTAAGGTTATAATCTAGGGGTCTTCAGATCTGCAGGGTAGTTACATTGGCTATAAATATACCCATTTTTCTGTTGGTATAAAATGTCCCATTATTAAAGGGGTTTTTATTTAAAATAGCTTAAAACAACTGTAGCACATTCAAAGCATATAGACAGTTCTTGACAACAGGTACCTCCCTAATCCTCCCAACATGTATTACTCATTTGTGAAGTATTGAAGAGGCAACTCATGCAGAATGCTGGTTATGAATACAGATATTAAAGCTATTCATACACACTGGAATTGAATTTTTAAGTTGTTAACCTTTAATAGTGCACATAATGGACATGCACATGTGGAAAACATTTTCCGAAGCACTCATGACTTAATTGAATTGTGTAGAATAGATACAGATTTTTTTGTGGAATTTGCTACTTGAATTTTTTTGTTTGCAAGGTTCATAACTAATATATGTTTATTAGTATTGTGAACACTGAAGACAAGGTCATTTGTAGGTGTTAGATGTACAGTGGAGAATAAAAACCTTTTTTTCCCCACCAACATCCAAACACCTATTTTGAGGAAGCATTTTCTTGCAAAAGCCTTTACATTTCATTATGTATTTTGCACTTTTTTCAGGTTCTGTTTTTAAGACCTAGTTTGAACTTGCAGTAATAGGAACAAGAAAAAACAATTTTGGGAGTTTACATTGTTCATTACTCATCTACCTTGTTAAATTATTCAAGGCATAGGGGAAAATATAAAATCTTTAAGTTTCTTCAATATTTTAGATATTAAAATTCACTTACTAGTCTGCAACTTTTGAGGTGTTCCTTAACTACAGGTGGCTGACAGGATTGAAATTTATTACTACTGAAACCAAAATTGTACAGTTTAGGTTTAAAGTTGGTGGATTTGAGCTGTAAAAATGTGAGCCATGTTATTTGGAATATTGGTTCTAAAAGGAACACATTATACCTTGGTGGTATTATTGGAGGTGGGAATGAGAAAAGTTTCCATTAGTGCCTGAGTGTAAAGTAATAATTAACAAAAAGAAACACCAGGACTACATATACATGCATATGTGTATGTATGGCTGTTGGAATTGATTCAAATTTTAAGATTAGGAATCTGGTTAACTATAAGTATTAAGTAATTTTTTTCCTGGGAAAACATGTCCTTTCTGTGCCAACTATCCTTTTCTAGTATCAGTGTCATATTATGAAGGGTTAACATGTAAAATGATTTGGTTTAAATGCTTGCTTCCCAAGTGTCCATGACAAAATGGGTCAAGCATCACCCACAACTTTTATTTAGTTCCCAAAATATCCATGTGATGGAATGTAATTATGGAATGTCTCTTAAAAGGCCATTTTTACAGCTTGCCTAGAATACAGTGGCACCTTGTGGTGATTCTTGATAACTTATAAGATGGAGGATATTTTTATCCCTCTCCCTCATTGTTCTCCTTTATTCTTTCCTGTGAATGAAAAAATGTAATCTGCCTTATTTGTTTTTTCTAAGTTTAACTTACTGGCTTCCTTGTCATATTACCGATATTAATATCACCAATGCTAAGTACATAGAAGCCACATTTGCTGGGCACTTTTGTTCTTAAAAGACAATTCTAATTGCTACTTTTCAAAGTATTCTGTATATTAGTAATACAAGAAATTGATAAGGCACATGTTAAAGTGTTAGGCTTTTTTTCCTTAAGTATAACTTTTTGTTTAATATTCAGTAACTTTGAATCCATTGAGTTGAATTGTGCACATTGGAGAACACTTGAAAATGTAACTGTAATGTGTTTTTATTTGGAAAGTTGAAGTGCAAGGTTTGAGGAACTTGGGTTTTATTGTTTTCTTAATTTGGCTTTTAATAAGCAACTAAAACAGCTTTGAGCTCAGTATCTGCCCTTTAAAAATCGCATTCTGAAATTCAGAGTTCTTAACTGGAACACTTCTACAATGTCTATTCCTAATGAATGGGCAGTGTACTTGATGTAATTTCATTTTATATCTAAATTACATCATAGACTAGAGGTACCACAGAGGTTCTAGCCCTCTCAAAGGATAACAGTTTGTATCATTTTTATATTTTCTATCTAGATAAGTGTTTTAATTCAAATTTGAAGGAAGCAGGCACACCCTCAAGTATATAAATAAAATTGCATTTAGTTTTAACTAGAATTGGCTTATTAAATATTTAGTTTTAACTAGAATTGGCTTATTAAAGATCCACATGCTGCTTTATAGTAACTTGGATGAAGTGTTAATTATCTTAAAGGTATGCAGTGGAAGTGATCCCCATCATACTACAGTGCCTAGTTATTTTGAGGTTCCTCTACTACTTCCTCATCTTGCAAATGATTCCAATTCTATAGTACAGTTGAATAGATGCCCAGCCTTAGCTCTTTTGTGTGCCCCTTTGCTAACATTCTTTTAACTGATTGAATTTTACATGTTTTAACTATCCAACGTTTGGATTTTATCTTTTGATAGTTCCATTTGTCCCTGGTGCTGCTTTTAATGATGTAGGGCCATGTGATCAGGTATCAAATTGAGTAGGTACGCAATTTTCCTGGTCATGTATCTGTGCCTGTTTTATCTTCTCCCAGGAAAGAGCTGCTTTGGTATAGATGTTTACTTGGATTCATATAAAGAGAAACAGGCAGCAGGCTTGGAAAGCTTTCTGAAATCTGTAAGAACCTAAGGGATTTGGAGGGGGATCAGTAACAAAGACTATCTTTGTCTTTGACCATGAAGCACATAAATGTATTTTCTGTAAAGACTAAAGTGATTGTTATACCAGGGCTTCCTGACCTCTGGGAGAGATTTTCAAAAAAGCAGAAAGGAGCACAATATGAAGTTAATTTGGTGGTTTGCTTTTATCTGTTTCTAATTTCCTATTTAATCCTGAACATAACACTCTTCTCCAGTACCTATTCAGCAGACTCCTGGTTTGGAAGCCCTGTATTAAATTTTGAGAATGTACCCAGTTTCCTTTTTTTGTACAGTACTTTACACCTGCTAAAATTAACTTGTTTAATGCAAAATGAGACCTTGAAGGGTCAGTCATATTAAAGCTGGTTTGATTATTAATAGTTATCTTTTAGGAAGAAGCTTTTTTTCCTTATGTAAGATGTCATACTGCAGATATAAAATATAGACTGTCAATAAAATGCATGAAGTGATCATTTGTGCTTGATCATCTCTACTCGGGATTTTCTTTAAGGGGGGACCTGATAAAGGTTCTGTTGCTTCAAACTGGTGTCAAGTAATTTTTTAAATCAATTGGGATTGTAGTACAGCCCTGATTTTGATTCCCTTCACTGCTGTGAGTGTGGGTGGGTACTGATTTATGGGAGATAACTTGTGTAGTTAAATGGTTTAATCTTTGGTAAAATTTGAAAATATATCCCAGTACAAGAATCCTGAGCAAGTTTATGAAAATGGCATGTTAAGTGTGTAGGTGTCTCTTTGCTCTATTCTCACCATTGCACTGGCCACTGCCTTACTTTCTCTCTAAATATGAAATCTTGTCTAGGTGTATATGTGTAATCATGCTTCTTTTCCCTTCCTGTAACACCGTATGCATTGCCTAAGCCACTAAGATGTTCTTTTCTCTAAGCAGATCACCACATTCTGGTACCTGGATGATATTTTTTAGTATTTAGCTGATAGTGAATATAACAGTTACTGTACAGGCATTTTGTCAAAGGAAATATTTTTAAAGGATATAGTAAGTGGATATAAACTATTTTAGTTTAAAAAAAGAGGTTCTAAAGAAATAGAAAATGAATCCTTGAGTTTCTTTGAGATCACTGCATTCAGTCAGGATTTAAGTCTGAGGCCTTGCAAATTGGTTACTGATGGCTATATTAGAAATAGCTTTGTTTTTCTGATCATAGACATTATATTCAGCACAATAAACATTTTACAATGGTTCTGGATAATGGTTATTACTCTGTAGGTGATGTAGCTAAGCTACAAAGCCATGAAAAGCAAGAGTCCTTTCAGAACTGATTTTAGGGCTTCCACTGTGCTCTTAATTGTTCTCTATGGTCTCTAATTTGTTTTTTAATACTTATTCTTGACTAGCGGTTTTATATACGTGTGTATATACTAGATTGTAAATCCTAGGTTAGATTATTTATGGAGTGTTATTTCCTAAACTAATAACATTTTTGATTGGTTTGTCAAGGAAAACAAGTTTTGGAGATTAAGTTATCTTGCAAATTAACTGATGACTGGTTAAAGAAACTGGTACGTTAGGCATTGCTAAATGTACCTTATTTTTGAGTTTGGAAGGAGAAGACATTTCAGAATCCTAGTTAATAGTCGTCTCGGACCCATATTAAATGTACTCTTGGCCTCAGTAATGACTTGATTAGAATTAAGAAATGGCAAAAAAGAAAATTTTTCCTTAGCATGCTAACCAGCTAATTGGCATCCCAGTAAATGATCTTTAAAGTTGTATTCCAAAAATGTTACAGCTCCTGCTCAGAGTTGTTTGGAACTTGTTTGAAATTGCTTTCAAAAACAATTTTATGAGCCACTAAAGATCAGTCCTGTTCAGTTTGTTCACATTATTTTCTACTCTTGTGATAAATCATGACTGAAAAATTAGCTTTCTTGATGGAGATTATGCTTTTAGAAGAATGCACTGTGTGTTCTAAAGGCAGTTGCAAGCAAGGCATTTCAAATAATAGGTACAATTGTGTTTAGAATGATTACCAAGATGAGTAGTTTGAAAGTGTTAGCATAGCTCATTCAACATTTAAAACGAGGAAAATAATTCCAGCTCCTGGCACTTCCTTCAGTGAGAGACATGCAAATAGTTAAAAGTATGACTAAAGCCTTAAAATATATACATATAATTACGCATTGCCATTCAAATGTTAGAGAAGCAGAGAAGAGTAATGGGTGAAGGGACTTCTGAATTTGTTTCCTCAACTAAGAGATAACTATAATGTGCTCTTAGTATATTCCAGTCCTGTGTTTGTCTAAGGTTTGCTCTTTGGTTTTAGTAGTATAGGGACTTGGATCCTTTGAAATATTGCTGAATTTCTTGAATGTGGTGACTTTGATGTACCTACTTTATTTTTATTTAATCACATGAGATACAGTTACAAAGTTGTTCTTGTCTGGATTTCAGTAATACAATGTTCCAACACTCCTTCACCAGTGTACATTTCCAACCATCAATGTCCAGTTTCCCTCTAGCCCCAGTGCTTCTGAGGCAGGCACTTTTCTTCTCTCTCACTCTCATTTTGGGCTCTCTCTCTCATCTCATTTTGGACATTATGGTTTGCAATACAAGTACTGAGAGGTTATCATGTATATCTCTTTACCTCCTTTCAGCAGTTTTTGTCCAGAGTGGTCATTTCCAACTTTCATTATCATAGTGGTCCCTTATCTATCCAAACTGCACCTCCACGACTTGTGGCAAACATTCAGCCATCGACCAGCCCTCTTGGTCCTCATTTCTATTGCCTTTGGATATTAGTCTCATACTATGATTTTTATATCCCCCAAATGAGTGAAATTATTCTATGTCTAGAATGACTGTACTCATTTGTGGAATATAAAATAACATAACATGCGACTAACACCCAAGGACAGTAGAGACTAGATCCAGGAAGATTGCTCCATGGTTGGAAGCCTGCCTCATAAGCTGGGAGAGAAGGCCGCTGAGATAGAGAAGGGATCACTAAGTCAGTGATGATTGGAGGGATCGCTCAGGATGGGAGATGTGTGCTTAAAGTAGATAAAGGATCAAATACGATGGCCTCTCAGTATCTGTATTGCAAACCATAATGCCCCAAAGTAGAATAAGAAGGAAATTGTCTGCCATAGAGGCAGGAAGTGGGGTGGTGGTGGTGGGAGGGATACTGGGGACTTTGGTGGTGGAAAGTGTACACTGGTAGAAGGATGGGTGTTTGATCATTGTTTGACTGAAACTCAATCATGAAAGCTTTTTTACGGTATGTCATGGTGATTCAATAAAAATACCATTCAGTGTCCTCTCCCTGTCCCGCTAACTCTATTCACTCAGCACAATACTCTTCTTGTCCGTCCATTTATAAGAAAGTTTCATAACTTCATTTTTCCTGGTGGCTTCTACTGTGTAGATATACCATAGTTTCTTTATTCAGTCGTCTATTCTTGGGCACTCAGGTTGTTTCCAGATTCTGGTTGTTGTGAATAGTACTGCAATGAACATAGGAATGCAGATCCACATTTGCTCTTATGTACAAATGTTCTAGAATAACAATGTCTTAGTAGGATTATAATGGACATCATGTAATTTTTATAGTAATTTAACTTTATTTTTTAAGCTATTTTTAATTTTTATTAGTGAAACACCATGAGGTACAGTTGTAGACTTACAATTTTTTGTGCTTGGGTTTCAGTTATACAATGATTGAGTACCCATCACTCCACCAGTGCCTATTCTCCACCTCCAGTGCTCCCAGTATCCCTCCCACCCTCCCCCCAATCCCACCCCAGCCCTTTGGCAGGGCATTCCCTTTTGTTATCTCTCTCCTTTTTGTTTCTGTGGTTTGAAAAAGAGGCATTGAGTGGCAATCATGTTTGGGCTATAGTCTACTTTCAGCATGCATCTCCCATCCTCGGAGGATCCTTTCAACACCCTTTATTTGGTGTTCCCTTCTCTATCTGAGCTGCCTTTTCCCCTAGCATGTGCAGCTGGCCTCCAAGCCATGGAGTGAACTTCCTGGAACTTATCTCAACTATTTTTGGTGTTAGTCTCCTATTTTTTTACTTTATATTCCCCAGATGAATGCAATCATTCTATGTCTGTCCCTTTCTTTCTGACTCATTTCACTTAGCATGGTACTTTCCATGTAGTACCACTTGTATGTAAGTTTCATGACTTCGCTACATAGTACTCCATTGTATAGATGTACCAAAGTTTCTTTAACCAGTCATCTGTTCTCAGGCACTCGGGGTTTTTTTTCCAGATTTTGGCTATTGTGAATAGTGCAGCAATGAACATAGAAGTGCATATGTCATTTCAATTGTACTTTTTTGCCTCTGGGATATATTTATTCCCAGGAGTGGTATAGCTGGGTCAAATGGGAGCTCAATTTCTAATTTTTTGAGAGTAGCCCATACTGTTTTCCAAAAGGGCTGAACCAGTCAGCATTCCCACCAGCAGTGAAGGAGAGTCCCTTTTTCGCCACATCCACACCAACACAGGTTGCTTTTGTTCTTTTGCATGTGGGCCAGTCTCTACCTCAAAAGATACAGTGACCAGAATAACAAAGACAATCTACAGAATGGGAAAGGATATTTACCCAATACCCATCTGATAAGGGGTTGATATCAAGGATATACAAAGCACTGGTTGAACTCTACAAGAAGAAAACATCTAACCCCATCAAAAAATGGGGTGATGAAATGAACAGAAACTTTTCCAAAGAAGAAATCCAAATGGCTAAAAGGCACATGAGAATGCTCTACATCACTAATCAAGGAGATGCAGATCAAAACAACAATGAGATATCTCACACCACCATCATGTAATTTTTAATTTTTGCCACATTACAAAAAACAGGTAAAGATGAAATTAATTAGATTTAACCATATACAGTCAATATAATGTTTCATTGGGTAAGCAGTTTTAACATTGTGTGTGTATTATGGTGCTACATATTGAAGCCAAGGCCTCATTGGGCAAAGTATGTGCAAATCATGAGCTACATATCCAGCAAATGTAAGTTATTGAAGTATTTATATCAAGGTTTTAAATACATATATACACTTTAAGTCTCTTATTTTACACTATATTCTCATGTCATTTTGGACAAGGCACATTCCAGATGCTCATTTGCAACAATTATCTGGTGGCTACTGTGAGGTTTGCAGCAGTTTAGGAGAGAATGAGTAGTGTTTAGATGCAAATGGTCATGTACTTTTTAAGCTCACCTGTAGTTACGAACATTATAATCTCACAGTCCTAGAACTAAATAGGTATCATTATTTTGTTTCAATGCTTTCACTTGTAATATCGAAGTTAATAAGCTTTGTAATACTGTCCTCCCGTTGTTCATCGATTTGCTCGAGCAGACCCAGTAACATTGTGAGACTTGTTACTGTGTTTGGCATATCAAATACGTCACTAGTAGCCTGCCAGGCTTTTGCCATGCGGGCAAGATACTCTGGGTAGC